ACCCCAAACTCCTGTATGGGAGTAAAATATCTCGTTCAAAGCAATGCAGAGAGCATCGCTGTTACTCTGTCTTTTGCAAGGCCAGGCACAGATTTACTGGGAGAAACGAGGAGAAAAATATACCAAACCAAAACAAATATCCTCCCAGTGCCATACACACACTTCTGCCCTCAACACAAGGGAGTGCCTGCAGCCCCCCACCTACTACTGCACTCTCAGGCCATTTACTAACGCGCTGTCAAACAGCAGAAACATCACAAGTTCCATTTTCCTCACCAGTGGAGCCATTGCATTCTGCAGTGTGCCTATCTACATATTTTTAAGCTTGTTTCATTCACTCAGTTCCTAAATCAGCAAAATTTAGCAATCTCCAAGATCTCTCTGCAATGAGTGAAATTTCTTTTACTACTGGGAAGAAGGGAGGAGGTCAAGAAGGCTTGGGAAAATTTGTTAGCATGATCTGTAATATGAATTTGGCAGAAAAGAAATTGGGAACATTTCTTTGGAAAACAATCAAAGGACAAAGTTTTCCTCTCGGAGTTGCGTGGTAATTCATGACTTACATGCTCCAAAGAAATTTGCTCTGATGATTAGAATAGTAAACTATTCGCTGTCTGCCTGACAGACCAAAGATGGTCATTTTTCCTCCCTTTGTCAGTCTCTCTCTGTTCAGGCCATGTGTGTGTCCCTTGACACACAGATAAAGACTGAATGATGCATCTCTGCTACGGAGGATTAATCCAAGTTAGATACGGCATGGAATGAAATGGCAAACAGTAACACTGCAGGTGGCAAAAATTCTGGCTGAGCCTTGCAGAGACTGACACGTGCTCTCTCTTACCTGGATCTCAGCTGCTCTTGCTGTGTGTGAAAACTCAGTGTCTTCGTGGTTACCCACTCATTCCACCTCAACATATAAAAGCAACCAACAAAGCTGAGGATCTTGAAAGCCTCTGAGGTGAGGAAACTTGAGCCTCCAGTATCCACTGCAGCTGGGGTTAATCAACAACACAAAATTACACTGTGGAACTTGTTGCCATTGAAGAGTGTACTGGGTGACAGCACAAATGAGGTCAAAAAAGGACTAGAAAAGCTCACAGAGATCACGTCCTTTGATTTCAACTCACCACAGAGTCTGGGTGCATACTTTGGCTCCACAAGTTTCTGAAGCACCAATCCATGGAAGAGTGTGCCTTCATCCAGTGGAACAGGATGCTCTTCTCCTATACTCTTCCCTAAACTTCTCCCATTGCCAGTGCCAAAAGAAGGACCCTTGGATCCTGCTCTTTCCAGATACGACATTTCTTGTGCTACAATCAATGCAATCATAAAACTAGACAAGAAAATTGTCTTGGCTGGAGTTTTAAATACATGATATTAAAATGTCAAGAAAATGTTGCATGAGACCTCTTCAGAAAGGGCTAAAAAGAGATTAAATTAAAACTCAAAATATTCATGTAGACCAACCTCAGTTGAAGGGAGGCAAAATCCTGAGGCCATCTTTGCAGCCACTTGAGGAATGGACTCACCTAAAAGGTGCTTCAACCAACATGCAGAGGCTCCTGCCATGAATCACCACCCACATCAGCATCCCAAACTGATACAGTTCCACCAGCCCTCTTCCAGAAACAGAGAAGTACCATACTCATTTAGGTGAATAATTTTTTTGGCCATTGTTCCTCCCAGTCTACTGCTGTCAGGCCACAGGTCTCTCCTCTTGTTCCCCCTACTCCACCTGGCTGGGGTGCTTGTACCAACTCACCTTCTCCTTTTTTGTTCTTTGAATCAGCTGTAGAAACACTCAAAAATATATTCAAAATACACACAAGTCCCAGCAGACCCAGGCAACCCTGTGAGTGCAGAATTCTGCAAGAACAAACCTCCCGTTTAATGTACACTCTGTTGAGTCAGCGCCAGCCTGGGCTTTAAAGCAGCACCACTGTGCTGTAAAGCAGTCCACTATGTAAAATGTCAGGTTGTTTCTACCCTGCAAATATATTACATTCCGTTCCTTCTGCAGCATTACTAATTCTATGTCCTGCTTAATGCTCTGCATCTGAATGGGACTCTCAATTACATGAGTCACTGCAACTATCCTTTGATTATTTTATTTTTTTTTTTTTGGTACATGTGATTTGAATCCTCAACTGCTGGAGCCCAGAGCTTGCTCTGCACACTCAAAGGGCTACAACAAAACGGGCTGAAATGCTACCTTCAGTTTTGAGTTGCTTGTGCTTGGTCACTGCTGTCACCTCCCTGTGAGGGCTGGCAGAGGAGCAGAGGTGCTCCAGAAGCTGTTCAGGTAAGTACAACAGGTACACCTGGAAAGATGCATTTGGGTGATGCTGAATTCAGCCAAATCATTGCTGAGGAGCCTGATTTAAACAGGCCAGCGCTGTCTCTGCCCATGTTTTATGGTCAGGTTGGCAGTGTAGGTTATTGAAGAAAATGTCTTTTTCTCACTTGTGAAAAGCTGAATTTGAAGCCTACGCACAGTGGCTTTTCTGGGAAAGCAAATTTTCTTGGAATGCCAGTTACAATTTTAGGAAGGAAACAATGTGGTAATTTTCAAATTCAAATCAAGTTTTGGCACCGAAGAAAAGCAAGGCTTGAGAAGAAAAGGTCATGACAAAATACTATGAAACAGGTAAAAAACTGTTTTCTCTTTTTGTTTCCTTTCCCAACACTTTAAAGCCAGCTACTTACTAGAAAACCTGCTTTCCATCTAAGCTTCCATCACTCTGTCAGTATAAAGCAGGAAAGCACTGCCTGAAAATAGAGCTTTTCTTTTACTGGAGGATAATTACTAGTTGTTCACTGTCTCATTACAAAATGTTAGTAAAGACCAGTATTTTGCCATGAAAATGCTAAAAAGCATCAATATTATACCTTATACAGGAGAAAATATACTGTTTCTTGTGTTTTCTGACCCCTGGAAAACCACCACTTCTGTGGCAGAGAACGTAGAACAGGACACCTCTTCCCTTCATTTCTACAAGATCTGATTTAAATTGAGAGCTCTGCAGGGTGGGAACCCGTTAGGAACTATGCTCTGTACGTGCATTGTAAAGAACTTTGTTACATCAACAGTGTGGCAAAAAAAAAAAAAAAAAAATAACCAGAGATTGTTATACCAAAGCCTCCACTGTAGGTCCCAGGAATGACAGCATAATTATTTTTAGAGATGACTATAGCAGTAACTCAACATGACACGAGAGGCTGGAGAAACAGCAAGCCTGATTTAAACCAATGGAAAAGCCAGGAATGCAGAATGGAGACTGTTCTTAATGCACCATATTGCATCTGAACATTTTGTTCCTACCCATCTATCCAAAGCATGACGTTTTGCATTTCATATTAACATTCTGAAGACATTAAAGGATTCTTCAACTCGATGTTCATATGCTGTGTCAGAATATGCACTCCGACTGCTTAGAGAAATGCTACGTCTACCTTCTACTCATGCTCCCTCCTTCAGCCTCCTCACCATCCTCCTTCCCACTGCCAAAAAATCCCAGGGGCTATTTTTTATTGGTACCATTATTTAGTTCAGCAGAAAGATGGTTACAAATACAGTTTGTGGGATTTGGACTTCACTTTGGATTTCTGCACTACCTCAGCTGTTATGCATATGTACTGACTGCTAACAAATCATCACAGTATTACTTGATGTTCATATACAATTTCTCATCTTCAAAGCACTTTAAAATTTCCCAGAGGTTCTACAAAATCTGGGAGAGAGAGAGAAAGAGTTATGGGCAAAAGCCTTTGTTTAGCATTGGTCTTAACATAAATTACAGCTATTCCCTTTCTGCTTAGCGCTACAGCAGGAATGCTGCAGTCCTCAGATTTAGGTCTGAAGTGCTAAACAATGCTAAATTGCCAATAACACATTTTCACTAAAAAGTATTTAAAATACTCTTTGTCATATGGACAGCTCTCTTCAAAAGTTCTGTTCTCACCTTTGAGTTCAAAACCAGGGAAATGGTGACATTAGCATAGTGTGCTGGGAGATGGATTTATGTATCAAAGTAAGGGACATTTTGATTTCAGAAAGTTTTGATAACAAAAAAAGTTCTATTTCATAGCAATAAAACAACAAAAGAACCAGGAATCAAAATATTTTTTTAAAGGTAAAACTAATAATGATTCAGGAATTCCTTCAGTGTTCAAAGCAGAACAGTTAGCTGTTAATAGCTGAAAGGAAGCTCACAGTAATTTCCTGGCCAGTACTGGAAAGAGCAACCAAGAAAACTTGGAAGTGAATCATTACAGAGCTCACTTTTCCTTATCACCCACCAGGGGACGAATCTCTCTCAGTGCCCAGAGACCCAGTAAAATACTCTGTCCACTTCGAACACCAAACCACTGCGTTACAGGAGCTCAGAGCCCACATCTGTTACAAGCCACTTTTTTTCTTTTGATTGGGCTGAGTCAGGTTTGCCAATTTTTTTTTCATTTACCACCATCAAAAAACGGGGATGAAACGAAACAAAAACTTTTTACTGAGTGGGAGACAAATATGAAAATGTAATGAATAAAACACTCCATTTCTCAAATATTCCACTAAACATGTAATCCAATCCAGCCTTTACACTTCAAAGCATGACTTGTACTTCACATGCTTTCTAGGGCACAGAGTTCCGTGACACAATAAATACAGGCTACAGTTCTGCAACATAGATGTTAAACTGGTTCTTCTGAGGTCATTTATTTGGTTGAATTCCTTTTGAGTATGAAACATTTCTCTAATGTCTGGAAAAAATATGGAAACATTCTCAGATGAAAGGTTACATGCATTCCAGAAAAAATTCCACTGAAATCTAAAGGAATACTGAAGTGCAAACTCTTTATTTATGCAATTTAACATGGTAGAAAGAAAGAAATGTAAGCTATTAAATGTGCTTTAAAGCCTAGGAAGCAAATTAAAATGAAATAACATACATATTATTAACGAATAGCTACAGTGAAAAGTGTGTAATTACATGTTAATTAAATTCCCTCCTTATTATATCTGCAGTGCCTCAAAATGATGTTTCCTCTCTATGTATTCTCCTTGTAGCAACATTTCCTGAAAAAAAACATAGGTGTAAAGCAGAAACTGTTAAATATTTCACAACTGGAAGAAGGAAAGAGAATGAAACTTCAACGACTTATTTTTTTAAGCTAGGATTTCTATTCAGAAATAAACTGAACTTCGACATGTTTTAATTATGTGTCCTTCTGTTTATAATCTTCAACTTAAGCCTAAACTAAACAACAACGCTGGCAGAACACAGTGAATTTGAGGAACTGGGATGAACTATTTCTAGGTAAATGTTAACAGAACCACTTTCCTTTATACAGAAATAATTATGTTCAGGCAGGGAGCCAGCCCTGCGTGTGCCATCCCCTACTGCCCCATTCCTGTGAAATCCAGCATCACCTTTCTTATCTGGCTATTTAGGAGTTTTTAATTTTTCTGTTCTCTGAGTCTAAGCTTCTTCCTGCATTTGCAGCTTTTCATTTATGTCTGCCTGCAAAGAAAATCAGAAGAAAGAAGTGGTTATGATGGAGCTATCTTGGGCTGCACATTGTCTTTGTGGTTTTGACACACTGTAGTGCAGCAAGGCAGACATTATCCTACACACCTTCCTGTTTTGCAGACATAACGGTGTTCCAGCCTGGACTTACGTGATAACACGTTATCGTATTGCCGTGCACAATTCCGATGTGTGGCACGGCTGCCATCAGCAGGAAGTGATCTGGGACAGCCATTCCTCACGTAACCTTGTCTTGGGAGATAGGATAATTTGCCTGTGTTCTCAGACAGCCTTTACCAATAGACACCAAATCAGAAAAATTGCTTTGGGATTTGGTTGTTGCCACTGTTTTCCTCTGCTGCAGATGTTTGTTCTCTAGTGTAATGTGTTTTATTGAAACATTGCTGGAATTAGAAAGCATTACTGAAAATGAACAATAAAAAAAACATACTTCTGTGATGCTGCTTGTCTGTCTTAATTACCAGCACAATTACGAATGTGTATCTCATTCTGGAAATCCAGACTGCTGTAGATGCTGAGCATTTAATTTGGAATGTAGCATTTGTGGGGAAGGTACAAGGGTTGGGACATATTTTAGTAAAACCTTTGGCAGTGATAATGTGTAGAAATCTCTGATTCTATGGCATTTGGAAATGTGGATCACTGGATAAAGGGCCACAAATACTGGGGGTTTATAGGTAATTTACATATATTTCTCAATATCAGCAGTCACTCCTCCAAAAATACAAGTGCAATGACTTTAAGAGTCACAAAGCTTTGCTCAAACAAGTGGAACAGACTCAGAGGTCCTTTACAAACTCTGCATAAACTATCCCAAAACTTAAGAGTTGCATTCTTAATGGAATTCAGGCAATTTTGATAAAGCAAATGGGTTTGTCCCAGAAACACGTGACATTTTAAGGACTTTGTGTCTTGTCAGTCCTAGAAATCCCTACCAGTGCTATTCTTTAATCAATGGATAGACACAGCTGAAATGTTTTCAGAGTTCTCAGTAGCTCAGATGGGAACCAAAAGGCTGGAATTTCTCTCCCAGTTTTGTACCTTTGCAGATGACCGTCACTATAGTCAACCAGCCTCAAGTATCACCAAATATGTCCTCACCCCTTCACATTATGTGTGTATATTCAGTTATTTTGCTGTGGAACACTGACCCTTAGGCTAATCCTCTTCTATCCTCCTTCACTATGGCTGCTACTGAGACCACTGGGTGATATCACAATAAAAGTTATTTTCTAGCATCAATTAGAGCAACAGCTGCCTTGTTAATGCATATGTTAATACACAATGCAGACTATGTAATCATAGTCCACACATAATGAAAAAATGGTATGAGTTTGATCATGAATCAGGTAAAAATCTCATTACAAGATGACTTCTGAGGTCCAGAAACTGAGAAAACAGGCGAAAAAGATATACTTGTGAAAGACTTAAAAACTGAAGGGAAATCATTCTCTGTGTATACACCTAGAGTTGCAAAAGAAGAAAAAATAAAGCCTTTCTCTCATCTGTGCAGTTTTTGTAAAGAAAAAACTCTTAGCACTCACACTGATGGTATCAAGGTCTAGTGAAAACCAGGATTTTATTTTTTTTCCTACAGTTAGGGACAGGAATAAGACAACATAGGTCAGGGATTCCCTCCTGTTTCTAAAGACATGTTGAAATGGAGTATAAAATCAAATAGATAGATCTAATGATGGCATTATTATTCTAATTTATATTCTCCATTCATGTGTCATCCATGTAAAAGAATTTATCAACATCACACTATTTTCAGATAATATTAGATATTTATTAAACTGCTGCTTGGTCAGTAGTGTCTAATGTGCTGTATCTAAAGTTGAAAGTGCCACCTGGTTGTTGCAAATAAGACCCAACTCCAGCAGTTCCTTGGTGGAACTCTGTTCTAGCCGGTTTGTTTTCAATAATTTCTTATTTAAGTCCAGTGCCAATAGCTTCCTTTCCTTTCATGAACCCCACAGAAAGAAATCATGGACCCCTCAGTGTCTGTAGCCCCCATACTGACACCTGATGTGTTCCATTGAGGCAGCTCTTGGACAGTCACGCACCGACCAAACAAAGCCTCAAATTGGCATAAACCTGTTATTTCTTACACAGATTGAAGGACGTGTAACACAGATGCATCAAACAATTTATATTAAGCACACATTGCATGTACTCCATCACAGCAGCTGGTCCTGAACCCCTGAGAAGGAATTTTATCACTGACATCACTGAGAGCAGGATTTGGCCTGTGTTTCTTGACACATAGTAATGCTGAAGATATATGTTGTTATATTACTGAATATTTTTTATCTTATCACATGTAAGCTGACTAAACTAGGAGTTATTTATAGAGGCTAATTCACATTTTTACAGCATATGGATGTGCTTTTTGCCAGCTTTAGCACAAATACAGTTTATATTCATTAAGGCTGAGCTAGCTAATTAAGCATAGACAGAATTAGTGAATAGCTTTCTAGTAATAGTACCTCAAGGTTGCCAATAATTTCATTTGGGATTTCACACTCTGCAGACTTCTGATCTTCAGCAGTGACACCAGCCACAGCATCTGCCTCGGAGGACTCTTCCAGGTAATCCTCCTGATCAGACCCCTGGCAGCGACCACCAACAAGAAACACATGAGTTAGAACATCATCCTGCCCTCCACGAGACCAAACAGCACCAGCCAAAGGCATGCAACAATACAGGGAGCTGATGTGGGGAAGTGCTGCTCTGACAGGGACCAGCAGTGTTTGTCTTGCACTGCCCAGGTTGGCAGATGAAGTTACAAGGGGCCCAGAGGTGATGACTACAATAAAAGTCCTCAGCTGACTGATTAATGCATTAAAAATAATTTCAAACGATCTTAGAAGAGATGCATGCTATATTCTGGGGAATAAATGTCATCAGTGACTGGGCTCCAATGGGAATTCATAGGAAAATAGCTCACAAAACCCCCAAAATAAATTAAAAGGAACAAAACTCCATACCTGAGATTCTGTTGCTGCAGCTGAGGAGGGAACTGCAGGTTGGTCAAGTTCAATCACATCCTGCTGGTGCTAGGAAAAAAAAAAGAAAAAAGAAAAAGAGTAATTCAGGTTTAATCATTACTCAGAGGTTTCTTGCAGATTTTTTTAAAATGGAAATGAAATGGCTGGCACACAACAAAAAACAATACCTTTTCTGTTACTATCCAGGTGCTCAGAACTGGAAAGCATTGTGAAAATGATTATAGATCAGCTTTAATCTCTAGCTGCCTCTCAAGGGGCCCTCTTTATAATACTTAGAAAGAACAGATGATTTTCATAATTTCATAACACTACAGCTTCTTACTCATGTGGATAATTACGTTTAGAAAACACTGTGCTTAGGTAACGTGCTGTCTCCCCAATGCAAATTTGTCACCTCTGAACGGGGATCTTGCTGCAGTTTGGAATTGCAGGGCTGTACCAAAGGAGTCAGCTGGAGTAAAGTTGTAGTGACACTGCATCGAATAAGGCCCTAAGAAAAATATTTTTATATGTGACTATAATTTAAGAGTCGCTAATGGTCCGAGTTTTGCTGCTTCATCGCTCCTTTGCTGTGAACGTGGGACCCTCACTGGTGCTGTGCTGGTGTGTGAGCTGCAGCTCCAGCGATGCTCAGAGACAATGGCTTTTCCCCCTCAGAGCAGCTGGATGAAGAACCTTGTGCACACTCAGGGTCTCAGGAATGATGCAGAAGGCAGCCCTGCGTCCTCTAAAGGGACAAGGTTCTGTGTCCTATTTAAAAAAAAAAAGGATGACAGGGAACATATGTGCCAAATAGGGCGAAAAAAGGCATTTCTGAACAAGCAAGGAACACTGAAATTGTGTGTTTGGGGCCTCTGCAAGGGGAAGTGCCCATCGAGAATACGAGGCAGATGTTCCAGTTCTGAGTCAGCGATTACAAACAGGATTTTGCTTGGATGGTGTAAGTAAACGACATTAATTCACATCAGGGTAATTGCAGCTCCCATAAATTAATTTCCTCCTGCTTTTGAAATCATGGTTAGGTTGATATTTGGTTTATTTAGTTACTTGCTACAGTTACACATGCTGAAAATATTAAAGATTTTATACATCTACAGAAGTGACAGCAAAAATTGAAAATAAAAAGTGAGACCTAGCCACTTTATTACATTAAAAATCTCTTTTGTAGTCCTAAAAGCTTTTCAGACCTTCTCTTTGGACATTGTTACTATCTTCAAGATTCCCTGTCATATGTGAGCTTGATAAAAAAGGCAGACAGTATCAGCCCATGTTTATAAGAACCCAAAAGGCTGATAGAAATATTTGCAGATAATAAGTGAGGAGAAAAATAGATTTATAGAAGCATTTTCCTCCACTGCTTGTAATTCAAATTTTCAGCACTGTATTAGTGCCCACAAAAGGAATAGCCAGAAAGTTTGGGTTTTGCATCAAAATGAAAAAGCTGAGCTAAACTGTATTTTTGCTAAAATAAAAAGATGCTTTGTTTTCCAATTCTATTTCTTTTAAACTAGAGCTTTTCTGATTTAGCAGCTATAATAATTTTCTCTGATTTCTTACCTTATATTTTCTTATTAAAATATTAGCTGAACTGGATCAGAATTCACAATTAGTTTCTGCTTCCTTAAAGCAGTATTCTTTGGTTAGTTAGTTACCTATTCACTCAAAATATTTTCTTAATTTAGACTAAATCATTATTCCGTTTATTCCCTCTGGTCCAAATTTAAAAAAAAAAAAAAAAAAAAGAAAAAGACGTGGTTTTTAGAATCAGTTCCAAGCTGATCAAATACGTTTTTGTAGCATGGATTAGATTTTCTGTTTTTTTAGAATAATATTTTTACTTCACTGCGTCTTTTTACAGAGAGCCATTCTTTACTCATCTGTTCCATGTCTAATAATAACCCTTGGATCATTAAGAAATAACTAAATTACAGCAGAACTAGTCTCTTTAATGAGCCATAATAGTCCCAACATTCAGCCAAAAGTTTTTTTAAAAGACTGTGCAACTTCAATGTAGAATATGAAGCATTTTGTTTAGCAATAACAAGTTTATGAGCAGCACTATAGTTTACAGCCAAAATATAGTGACCTAAAAATGCCATTCTGCATTGCTCCTTCCTATACATTGTGTCCTTAACAAGTCCAGGGGAAAATTAGAACGAATGAATTGTGGTGAGAGCCCGAAGCCAACAAACGTATTTAAATGAATCCTTCTGATGCAATACTTTCCTTTAAAAAACACAATTAAGTCTTTGTGTTTCCTTTGAACAAAACCTCATGTGTAATAGCACCAATGGCTCTGTAGTAAAATCTATTTAAAAACAGAGAAGGAGACACAGTAAGTTTTATACAGTTACAGTGGCTTTAAAAAAAATGTTACTGGTTTCTGAAGTCTGAGTAAATTTATGGTGAATTACTTCCACTGACCTACATTAAAAACTTCATCCTCCTTTTTTTAATTCCTGAAGATTTGTCATTATGTGAGCATTATTCACTATGACAAAGATGTATTATTCAAAGTGTCCCCTTGAATCAATATAACTATCGAAATGTGAGAAACAGTTTGGCAAGATGATAATGCCTTAAAATTAATTGGCAATATTTTCCTGCACACTGTGGTCCGGTGGGTCCACGGGAATTCAGACACAAAGGAATTGTGAAGCAGTTGCACAAATGTAGCTGGCATATCAGTGTCAGCTGCTCTGAAGGAGCTGGAGGGAGAATTAAGTGCAATATTCCTACTAATTCCTGGGTGGGGTGAGGTGCCAAAAGGCCACTTAAACCCAGGCAAGTTGGAGCAGGCTGGAGGCTGAGCTGACACCCAGCAGAGGTTGGTTGGGAAGTCTCGTTCAGTGTAACCTTCACTTTCCCACCCCAGTTACATCAGGCCAGCTGAGAACTGCAGACACTGCTCTCCATGGATGGCCCCATGTCACAATTCCACTCAGGAATTCTTTCTAGTACAAGTGTGCATAAAGAGATTGAAGTATAAAAAGCGTAGTGTTGTTCTGCACATAAACCCACATACTTTTCTTGTTGTTCACCCCTAACAAATTGCCTTTTTACAAACGTAGGCAGAGAAAAGACAATAATATAGTACACAGGAAAATTTCTAAAACAGGATAATGGCAGGAAAGAAGATTGGTAAAGCATTCTAATAGATGAGTTCCACAGATGTGGTAGTTATTATAAAATTAGCTTTGCATAACTTACCAATATACCATTACATTTCCCCCCAGATGTTATCTGTTACTTAAATTAATTTTGCTTAAGTTACTATTATCGCAGATTTTATCCACGCTGTGTTTTATTATTTAAGTTTCTGTGGCATAAAACAAGCCCTGGCTGATAGCATTACTTTTAATAATATATATAAGAGGTTTCAGTATTATAGAAATGGCTGCTGGGTATATCTTAATAGTCATAGCACAGAACGTCTGCTCTCAAAATATTATGTAGATTAAAACCAGCTATTTACTTACACTCTAATTCAAGTCATTGGAAAGGTTTGCAGTATTTATGTATGTGGTATGAAGGGAAACAATCTACTCCAGGAATAAATATCAGAGTTTGGAAATTAGCAAAGCTAAGGTCAAGGTCAGTTTGGATTTACTAACATACTTGCTGAAAATGAGAATTTAGAGTTTATGTTTACTTATTTCATAAACGAGGAAAGAGACTGAGGGGGTGGTGTATTTGCCTCTTTAATACATGGCTTTTGTATCACAGAAACATTTTGAAACCACCTTTTCAGCTTAATATTATCTGAAATTCTGTACTCCTTTCCACACAGTCTTAACATAAATTCTCTGCAGTTAATCTTATCAAACATAGGAAAATAATTATTTATAAGGACTGAAAAAAAAAATCCCATGTTCAGCATGGGCCATTTCTAAAGCCTTGTAACATCTTTCAAAGCCTTTCCATGGCTATGGATTTGATTCTATATGAATGGTAGATGCATTTTTACAAGGGAGTTCTTTGTGTGTTATTCTCTATATTCATATCACCTGTGTAGTTTCTAGTTGTAGACCACAGGACCTTGTGCTACCAGAGACCTCCACAGATTTCTCTCATATATATGTGAGATTTGCTATCAAACAAACTCTGTAACACAGGATTTACATTAGTTTGCTATTTATGCTGAGCATGCCCAGCCACAGACCTACAAACGTGCTGAATTTCAGCGGCTGGAATAAAAGATGTTTACAAGAGATGGTTTGTTAGGTGCCTGTATTTCATGTGGTTGCATTTGAAAGAATACATAATGGACTGAAATGCACTGACTCAAACCAGGCAGCCTTTTTTCATCCTTCCTCTTTAACCTGCCAGCATATGCAAACACAACAAACCCACCCCACCTGCCTGCTGGGGCATCGCCCACCAGCGTTCCCACAGGAGGCTCCTGGGAGGCTGCTGGTACCTCTGCAAATACAGTGGCCATCCTATTTTGCAGCAACACTTTACACAAGGAGTTTGGGAGGCACACAAAAGCTTAATCCAGATTATCTGATCTCTGTGGTGTGACAAAGATGGCAGAGCTTCCTTCTAAACACCCTCGCAGTACGCAATTTTATTAATATTAAAAGTAGAATTAAGATCAATGAGAGCCTAAAACTCTGCCTCTGAATTATGTTCCCGAGTTGCTAATGATGCACATGGAAATTCTGTGTGCATGTTCCTGGGCAGGAGTTTTCAAAACATTATTCGTAAATGAGACAGAAGTTCAGTGAGTCAAAGGTAGGCTTTATGCTCTTTTTCCTGCATTTCAAAATCTAAGTGAATATGTTTTAAAGAGAGTTTTCCATGTTCCTGAGCTGAGATGGGAATCGACTTTGTTGACAATACATTAGTAATTAATCTAGTCCAAAATAGCTATCTGAAGCAATTTGGTGCCTACATTGACAAAACAGGATCTCCTCCTCCCCCCAGGAAGCTGTAAATCAGTCAGTGACATCTGGCCTCAAGGACATCAGAGTCATCTCAAATGTGGTAATTTATATTAATGAACATCAATATTAATTTTTAAATAAAAAGAATTTGCTACTGCC